CATATATGCACATACATACATATACGCATATATGCACATACATACATATACACATGTTTGCATACACACATGCATATACACATATACAGATATATGCATATACATACATATAAACATATATGCATATACATACATACATATATGCATATGCATACACATATACATATATGCACATACACATATATACATATATGCATATACACATACATACACATACAGTATATGCATATACATAAACATACAGTATATGCATATACATACATATACTCATATATGCACATACATACATATACGCATATATGCACATACATACATGCATATATGCACATACATACATATACGCATATATGCACATACATACATATACACATATTTGCATACACATATGCATATACACATATATACAGATATATGCATATGCATATACATACATATACATGCATATACATACATACACATACATATATACATGCATATATATACATGCATATACATACATACATACATACCACTATGCATGCATATACATACATACACATACATATATACATGCATATATATATACATACATATATACATGCATATGCATATACATACATATATACATGCATATACATACATATACACATATATATTTGTTTGTTTCCTCAGCCTTTTTTTTCTTTTTTTTTTTCATCCTGTTTCACTCCGTTCTCACAGATGGACTGAAAGTAAATGTACTTTTTTTTTCTGCTGTCCTTGTACAATGACAAGTGAGATGATTCTGAGTCTGAAAATAATCAATTTGACCCAATCTGAATCCGAGCAGGATGAGTGAGGAAGAACGACAGGGGCGGGGCTTAAAGAAAGCGAGCAGAGGTGTCAGTTACCAATAGGTCTGTTTGAGGATCAGACTCTTCTCTTCGATCCAGGCCCGTCTGCTCTCGGCGCTCATTCCCTTCCCTGCATCAATCACTTCTGGAGGGAAACCTGTAATGAAGGAGGCACAAAGAAGACGCTTCAGGAATACAAAAGAGTGATGATCCTGTTTAGTTGAACACCACCCTTCTATTTAATACAAGAAAGACCAGGAGCTTCTTCAGTTTTTTTTTTTGTTTTTTATAGCCATCTGCTGCCACCTAGTGAAAGGTATTTTAAGATATATTTGGACAATTATCCACAGGAAATGTTTACCTACAGATTATCGGTACTTCACTATTACAAACAACGTTTTCTTACAGCGCCCCCACGCACATTAAATAATGATTTAATAAATAAATAACTCCACAGAAATGTAAAAAAAAAAGCTAATAAAAACATTTCCAGAGCAGACCACAGATCAATGCAAATTTCCCCACCGAGCCTGCGCTCTAATTGACTCCTATTAAAGCACACCTCCAGTCCAGAGCCAGGCATGAATACTAACGAGTCTGGGATGAATTTACTTCGTCTGGCGTCGGTGTCGGAGCCGAGAGCAGCTGCCGAGAGGCGAGAATGTGAAAAGTCTGATCGTCCTGAATTAGACAAATGTTAATTTGGTATAATTAATGCTTCATGTACGAGAGTGGAGAAAAAAAAAAAACCCCGAAACTGCCTGACTCGGGGTTAAACCCCCGTCGAACCCCCCCCCCACTATCATCATCATCATCTTCCTGTGCTTTGATGAGATCTTCCTTCAGACCACAGAGCAGCTGAATCTCATTAATACGCTCACAGAAGTCTGGAGTTGATTTTTAATCAGGCTCTGGTCGAGTGCCAATTTCTTAAAGAAGTGGAGTCTGATTTGAGCAAAAAAAAAAAAAAAAGAAAATTTCAGCACATTTGAGTTGGTGCAGTACTTTTATATCCGCGTTGTCGTACTGGTTGAGGACCACAGACCGAGGTTTGGAGACTAATTTGATAAAAAAAAAAAACAGTTCTGGGATCAGTCATTAATCCAGTTGGTCCCATTAAAAACAGGCTTCTCCAGCAGTGAGGCTGAAGTCCCGTCTTCACACTCAACTTCATCTTTTTCTCTTTATATATAAATCGACGAGCGCGCGCTCATTTGCTCAGACGCTCGGCTCACTCCATCTGTTTCTTCCCACGAGACTTTTCTCCGTTAATTTTGTCACTTAATCATGTCACGCCTGATGGGAGTTAATACACTTGGACGTTTCTGCAACTTTTTAAAACTTGATTTAAGTCACTGCAAGATGTCGGTTACAGCACGGACTCTGGAGGGTTTGTTTGTTTGTTTTTTGTTTTTTTGCTGCACAGACGTTAATGTTCTATTAACAGCAAACAGTTATTTTTGAAGCCTTAAAAAATTTTTGTTGGTCGGAAACAAAAAGACATCGAGTTTGTTGTCACAGAGAAACATCGCATTTAAGAAGCTGGATATTTTTGGAGATTTCACTGCACAGTGTTCTGTGTTTAACTGTGTATGTGGCAAATAAAACTCTTGTATTTTTTTTTTTTTTTTTTTTTTAAACACATCTCAAACGGCGCTCTACCTTGTCCCGGTGGTGTCAGACACACGGCCATAGTCAGCGCCGACAGGACGCTCTGCTCAGCCAGGCCGATCCTCAGCTTCCCGGCCAGAGACCTGTCCGTCACAACCACAAGAACAAACACTTAAGACTTTGTCATTATTA